TGCAAATCGACGCGTTTTACATAATAATAATAATTACTTTTATTAAGAGTGACGTTTCTCCATTCCTCCCCCTTTCCCTTTCCCTTCCCCTTCCCACAATTTCTCTTTCTCCTTTTTTTTTTTAAATAATAATAGTAATAATAATAAAATTTGTAAGTAATTTGTACGATACTTGAATTATTAAAACAAAACTTTAATAATTATTAATTTAAAAAAAAAAAAAAAAGCTGTCAATTTTATATAAACTTATACAATAATATTATATATATATATATATGTATAAATGTTTTTATTAAAATAGATGATATAAATAATTAATTTAAACAAATTATTATTGTTATTATTATAATTAATTTTAATTATTTAAATTTAATAAATTGTGCGTGCGAGTGCGTGTGAGTGCGTGAGAGCGTGTGCGTGTAAAATGAAATGAAAACTTTATATAAAATTTAATAATAATAATAATGAAAACTTTTAACTTTCCCTTGGATGAAAAAAATTTTCTTCTTATATATCTATTACTCCATTAACTCTTTCATATTAAATTTACTTTTTACGGTTCCGGATGGATGGAATGTAATTGATTTATGTCATATTAAAAAGAAAAAACCTTTTAAACCTTTTCAGGTTTCATAAAATTTTTTAAATTTCCCCCGTGTGTCACCACGTGGTCATTTATTTAATATCATCGTTACCTATTTACCTTTAAAATTTCAATAAATTAAAACAATAGATGATGATATTATATTAATATCTGTTATTATTATTATTATTATCAATCGATTCCGTGTTGTTGTTAATATATTTTAAATTAATTAATTAAATACCGAAGAGAGAGTAAATCCATCCATTGATTGTTGTTCGTTTTGTTGTTTCCTTAAATTAATTCACGAATCTCTCTTGAGTTTAATCAACGTTGTAATTTATATCGTTTTATTATAAAAAACAAATAAAAGAAATATATATATTCTCTCTCTCTCTCTGTCTCTCTCTCTCTCTCTCTTTCTCTCTCTCTATCTATCTCTCTTTCTTAAAGTCTTTAAAAACCTGAATGACAAATAAAAAAAAATTTTTTTTTTTTTTTTAAAACTCCATTTAATTTTAAATTCCATTCACGAGAAAAATAATTTTTTTTTATATTTAAAATGGCACCGAAGAATAAAAGTGGTGGGGGAAGGGGGAGTGGGGAGAGGGAGGGAGGGACGTAGGAAATGAGAAGAAAATTAAAAAAAAAAAAGTTTGACGATTTTCTTCATCTTTTATTATAAAAAAAAAAAAAAAAATTCTAAT